CCCCCCCCCCCCCCGCAAAAAGATGCCCCACTGCTTTGACCTTTTTTGCGTCGCCCCTGATCGAAATCGAAAAACCAGGATTACGCCCCCCCTGCTCTGGTACCTTACTTACGCCCCTGCTCATAATTGATGCTGTTCTTGATAAAGAAGCTTGATTTGTTTCAATAATATCTCGATATCCTGATGCCATTAATACCGATGCAAAATAAACAATAGATAATGCTAAAAATTGTGATCATTTTGTATCATCCTAAATAAAATATATATATTTAATTTTATTAAATAAGATAGAACAAACAATAATAGAACAATTAATGCAACACAAAATACATAAAGCAAAAGAAAGAAAGAAAAAAATATATATTGCTTAAATTTACTATGACGATGGCAATGTTTTTGCCAATTTTATTTCGATTTTGTCTTACTACATCACAATAGATAATAGTGCATAAACGTTGAATATCAATATCTTGTAAAACTGATTCAGGATTATTATAAATGTTGCAAGTAAACTTTCAATATTTTCATCAAGATCATTTTTTTGTAGTGGTGAATTTAATAAATAGGTTAATTCAATTATTGATTCAATTGGATCTTTCATTGAAGGTTTTGTTTGTGATGTTGATTCAGAAGTTTTTGATATTAATGATCGATCAAATCGTTGAAAATGATATTCTATACGATGACAAACTGCTAGTGTCATTGCTATGAAAAAAACAAAACATATTTAAAAGAAAAATTTTCTAAAAACATTTTATTACTTAAACGAAGATATTGTCTTAACATTCTTCCATTTGACATATTTTTTTCTTGTTCAAGTTCAGAAAAATTTGAACTATTTGCAAGAATAAATAAATCTACTAAACTGATAACATGTTTTAAAATTTTAATTATATTGCACGGCAATAAACCTTCTGTATTTCTAATATTTCAATTTCATGCTGCAAAAAACACATACAAAGAACGAAATTTATAGAAATTATAAAAATTAATTTTACTGATGCTGATGTTGCACTAGAAAGTAATGATAAAAGACCACCATATGCATTACATAAAACTTCAGACATTTGAGATATTATATGTACGACATTAGCACAAAATATTTGATGCTCTGAATGACTAATAAAATCAGTTATTGGTTTAGTTGATTCACTAGAAAGCAAAAAAAAACAAAATTTTATTTTAGAATTTATTTATTTTATTTTTTTTAAGATATACGATTTTCATGCACGAATATCTGTTTCGATTGAATCGAAAACACTATGTAACAGACGTATATACATTGAAGAATATTTAAATTCAGAAATTGTATACGGTGGTAATTGATAGTTTTTATTGAATACTTGACGATTAGAAATTGATTCTTAATAGAAGAAAATATATACATCATTTGACTGAAGGCAATCTTGACGAAAACCATTGTTCGTATGAATGGATCTCAAACTTTTCAGATAGCTGTATGTACCGAACGATATCTATTTGAAAACACTAATCGGAAATCATCACTTCATTTTATTGAATAACTGGTAACTAGAGATCCACAAGTTTAGTTCTAAGAAACTAATGTATCTGAACAATTTTGCTTCTACTTATGTGCATCATATAGATATTAATGAGCATAGAGAACATTGAAAAGAGTTTGGATATTTACTGTATTGCTGCGAAAATAGTGATTTTTTCATTTCTACTTGAAATTTTGCATAGAGACAGACGTTAATGCAAGGACAATATTATCATCGTCATGTCTTACGATAGAAACAACGAAAAGATCTGAAACTTTCACAATGAGCTGTTCTTGTTAATACCTATCTTTATGCAAAGTTTCAAGTTAAAAATCAATATTTCTGATGTTCCTAATGGACCACAATATTGACTTAAAAGATGCTATAAAAAATGCAGTATCTTCACAGTAATAAATTAAGCACTAGAATTCTGTTCCAAATATTCATAGCGCATTAGGACTTACATAATACGGGCTCAAAAGCGATCAATCAGTTGATGAGTTTTCTTCGTCAATTCCAACAACTGAACTTTGAACTAGAAACTGATCGACTATCAAAACTATCGAGATGTGCAATCAAATATTATTTTATCTCTTTGTTATAGAAGGAAGTCGATCCATCGAACAGAGAAACCCATGGTGGAGAACTTTTTCTGTCATGACAACTAATAAAAAACACTCTTCCTTTTCTTCTGAATGTATATTTGAAATCTTGTTATTTTAAGGTTTCAGTTTGATCGTACTATTGATTATTAACATACTAGTCAGTGTTGTAACTGATTGTCCATCGATTGGTATATCCAAACTGTTTGCTGTTGGTGTAGAAATCGGTGTTTTTTTGCTAAACATTTTATAAATTCAATCAACAATCAATCTATAAAAAGAAATCTTGTATCATTTTTACCATCATTCTTCATCTTTTCAACCATTTTATTAATCTTTCGATAATAATATTCTTTAGTTACCTAAGAATAAAAATAAAATTTATTCCAAAAGAAAACTATTCTTAATTTCTCTCCATTCACCAAATTGAAATTTAATAGCATCATGTGATAAAATTTTTAATAATTCAAAAACTCGATAAGTTACAGATATTTGTTGATCACTTGATGGATAGACATAACGTAAGACCAAGTAAATATTATTGTCAAACAGAAAAATTATGTAAAATAATTCTTATGAGAATAGAAAAAAACAAAAAAGCGAAAATTTTTCTTTTTTGTTAACAAAAGACATGAATAATTTTTACTTTCGATTTTCTCGACTTGCTAATGAAAGTAAAATCATATGATCAAGAAAACGAGATTTTATAGCATATAAATGGATATTATCTGGTGAATTTCGAAGTAATGTTGCTATTACTTTAATTATGACTGAATAATAGAATCAAATTTTTAATTTATTATTTTGTAGATTAAATATTATTTCCTTACATGGATTTTCAATTTCCCAATCACTAGTAATTTCTACACTACATTTTTCAACAATAGGTTTACTAACTTTTTCTACAAGTATCTAAAAAAAATAAACTCAAAAAATATCATTTTATAATTATCTATTTATTCATACTTCAAATAAAATATTATAAGTTGACATTATAAAACCATTTGGGTTAAGTAAAAGTCGATCAGCCAATAATGAAAATAGATTATATGGTTGCATACTATCTGTTTTACGTCTAGAAAAAATTCATTCCATTTTTTCTTCTTTTAGAAAACAGAACAAGTCATACTTAATTGTACTACGATGAAGAAAAAATCCTAATAATTTTAAAACTTGTAAACGAATTCCTTCTTTACTACTTGCTAATAATTTAAATAGTTCTTAAAGAAAAAAAATAATAAATTGGAATAATTTATTAATCAAGAAGATTAAAATTAAATTTCTACCTTTTTCCTTGTCGATGATCAAATGCAGGTACCATTTTTTTTTGGACATTCTGACATAAGACTTACAACTAAATCTAATACATCAAGTAGATTTTCATCGTTGAAAAAAAGAATAATATTATTTTATTTGAAGATATCAAATTTTGTCATTACTTCGTTGATTATATGAAGATAATTAAGTATAAATTGTAGTTCTGTTTCTTGTGTATCTGGACTACTTATAACAAGTTATTTCCTATATAATAATATATATAACATCGCATTTCAATAATTTGTTCGCGTGTTGGTCGATTATCATCTAAAATTTATTTTGTTTTTAATGGAATATTTTTAGAAAATATTGTTAGTACGATAGGCTCTTTGAAACGATTTCATGACACAAGTTAATAAAAAATTATTCAAAATTTTTATAGCTTATAGAATGAGACTTTTTGCAAAGAATATATCCGTATGTTATGTAATAGTTGCAAAAGAAAGGTCCGAAGATGTAGTCTCATTGTTTGACTGAAGATACAGGTCGTTCAGTTTATTTTGAAACAAAATAGAATGTTTCTTATTCTTTTATTTTTATACATTTATTGTAATAGATGTTCGATATGTGATCCATGAGCATAGTAAATTAATCTACAACGCTTTGGCCAATTCTCCAAAGCATGGTCGATTACATCCTGTCCAAGATTTTCCCACTCCTGTTTTATAGCATTTTTCAACCCATTTAATGTTGACACCTTNACTTTTTTTTTAAAAACCCCCCCGCCCCCCCCCCCCCCCCCCTCAGGGATGGTCTGGCCAAAAATGACAATTTTTTCGATAACTCAGCCATTTCTTGACGGATCCTTCTCATCTTCGAACTCGATCGAGATATTGATGAGACGATTCTGTGCACAAAATTTCAGCTCAATCGGATGTAATTGTGAAGAGTTATTGTGTACACGGATGGCCGGCCGGCCGGACACACTGACCGATTCTAGAGTATACTCACTTTTTGAGTACACAAAAAACTGATTGAGACAGAAGTTGATTAACATTCTTGTTCTATTTGTAAATTTGACTTACGCACTTATCGAATTTTAAGATTAAAGACGTTTGGAAAATCTATTTTGCTCACATCCAACCTGGAATCTTTTTAAACAGCGTACCAATCACAGAGATCAATGTTTCAAATTTCTATCTCGAATAACTTTGATGAACACGAAAGATAATATTGAATATCATCAACTACTGCATTGAAATATCTATCGAATAACAATACATATTGTCGTCATACATATTTAATAGTTTTATTATTAAACACTATTTAAATCCTATCATTAATAGAATCGCATGTAAATTCGTATTTTAATTATTTATTTTGTACGCATAATACTGGAATTTCAAAGACTTTAATACCAATTTTTACAATGAATTAAGGAAGCTTCTCATAATCTATCAGGCATGAAATAACATTTACATAAATCAAATAGTGCAGTGTAAGCATATAAACAAAAGGTAAAAGTCCCATATGGTTTATTCTAACGAGTAATCAACCAATATATGTCAAAACATTACTTATAGTCATGTTGTTCGCTGATTGTGGAACTCATTTATTGAGCGGATTGACAATTGAATGCCATATAATTCGAGTTATTTAAGGATAAATTATTGATTTAATTCTAAATTTCGTTATAAGATGACTACATATACATCTTTGATTTTTTTTGTATAATAAAAATTGTGTTTTACGTGTTCAAAATGTTAATATCCGAAGATTTGGCATTAATATTTTAATAGATTAAAACGAAGAAATCAATTGTTTGTTTTTTTTTTATAAAAAAGAATGTTGCTGATGAATAATGCCATTATCAATTTAAAAATTTTAACTAGAACTTAATATAAACAGTATCTTCAATCTGCAAAATTAACGATAGATTACAAAAATAAGAGTACAATCGAATTATACAGACGTAATTAAAAACAAAAAAGCTTATTTTGTTTCCATTATCTCGTTTCAAATAAGTCTGTTTTAATCATGATTTGATTAATTTCATTTTTAGGTACACAATAAATTATGTACATCACCAATATAAACTGAATTTTAAATCGAATATGTCCAATATCTTTTATGAAGATTCAACGAATCAATTATTCATTTATTCTCGTCACACAATAATGAGTAAACTCGTTCTGCACTCGTTATTATGAATTACTCAAGTGAAACACTAAAAAATTATCAACATTTCGTGCTGGAGATCAACAGTGGCAAAAGAATTTATTTTTAATATACAAGAAACGAAAAAAAACAGAGTTTTTTTTAGTCAACAGCATTATTTCTTCCAATAAATTTTTGTTTTGTACCAATCATTATTAAATTTGTTTTATTTTGATTATTATATTAGCTAAATTAACAAAACTTCCTATGATAAAATTGTTGAGGTTTTTATAATATCGTTATTGCTTTTGTCCGATAAGGAATACTTTTTGATAGAATATGAAATATAAAACCAATAATTTGTAATGACATAAGTATTGAGATGAAAATAATTAAACGTAATGTTGTTTCATTATGACTAAAAGAAAATGTTTCAAGATAAAGACGATATAGAAATATGCATAGATTTTCCAATGATATCAATACATTAATTAATATATCATCAATTGAATAATGTGTTATTAAAGAAAATATCATTTGTAAAAACATTGTATTTTGTGTATGTTTAAATTTTGATCGATAAAATAGTCGCGTAATCATTAGAGTCAAATGTACAATGATAAATATCATTGATAACCACCAATTATCAAAATGAAGAAGAAAGATAAATGTATAAATACGTGTAACAATTAAACATAATCTTGATAAAATTGATAAAATGATATTAAATGAAAATCGTTCAAGAATAAGAAATGTTGATATAAGAGAATAATTTATTATTAAATAATATAAAATACTGATTAAAACAAATGCTGATGAAGGACGAAGATGGATAGAAACTGGATTAAATGAAGAAAATAAGAATTGAGTCCAATTTGACGACATTGTTCGACGAGCTAAATACTTACCTTCATTATCAGATATTTGCCAGTGACTAGGAAAAAAAGAAATTTTAACAATTTGAAAAAACAATCGTAAATCAGTTTGACTTTGACTCATGGGCATTCAGAGTATATAATCAATATTTTATCTTACGTGAAAACTTCTGGCTTCGGCATCTCTCTAACGATCAAAGTGATTCTTCTGAAAATAGGTGCTCACTTTCTTGGAAACTAAAATCGATCTTTTAACAAAAGAAAAACTAAATAAAATATGAAGTATAACTCAGGATGTATCTATGTCTGTATGATCAAATACAAAAACTGATTTAATGACAAAGTAATTAGGTATGGCAAAAATACTATTAAAAGTTGCAATCATGCTGAATCTTTTAATTTTCTTTACTTACGCTAACGAAGAATAACTAGGAATTGTATTTATCATTGATGTTGATGATAAATAATCATTATTTGATATCCATTGAGGAATAAAATAATTCATATTTAATAAAGATTTAGTTGATTGTTGAAAATTATTTGACCAATAATAAATATTAATAAAAGCTAAAAATCCTGTATGAACAACATAGAATAAGGTCAAATAATGAAATAATCTTCGTTTTTTTGTTCTATATAATGATAAATAATGTATCATAGATGAATCTATTCTATGTGATATATTTGTTTCAAATGTTGTTGTTGATGATGATGATGATGATGATGATAAATTTAATATTTGTCTATTATAATTTTTATCAAATATAATTGTCAATAATTCAACCAGTTCATAAAGCAAATAGGGACGTATACTAAATGGTAATAATAATAAACAAGATGGTAAAATATTTAATTGAATTAAATTATTTATCCATAAGATTGTATCACATAAAATAAGTATACTAATAAAACTAATTAAATATATATAATTAGTATGATAGTAAATATAAAGAAGAACAATATCAATTGTATTTGTAATAAGAAATGATAATATAAGAATAAGAATAATTAGAAGAGATCTATTTGAATATGAATATGATTTAGTTAATAAATGATCATTATGTTTTAAAGAAGGAAGTAATGATGATGATTTGTTATATAAAGTTGAGAATGAAAAACTTTTAGTTAAATAAATTGATTTTTGAAATTTTTTATCAAATTTTTCTGATTGTGTTCGAGCAATTTGATTTCTTGTTGGCGGTAACAATGAATTAATTATATTTTCATTTGCAAATGGAATATTTTCACATATTGTTTCATTATTTGATGATAAATTATGAAATGTATTTGTACTTTCAATAGAATTTGTACCAAATGTTGTCCAACTATGACGATTATTATCATTTGTTATTGATGGAATTATATAAAAATTTGTACCATGTAATAAACGTTGTTGATAAGAATTTTCAAGTTTATTTTCAAAAGAAATTTGAGTATTGTTGCATTCAGTAATTGATTGTTGTTGTTCAGTGAAATTCAAATCAAGATCGGCTAGACTTGTATGTTTACAAATAAATAAACGACATTTTGGACAAGCACTTAAACTTAATGAATAATGTAGAACATTCATGAGATTTACAATTGTAAGTTTCTTCAAATAAAATCACACATTTAAATTAATTCTATAAATAATTTTAGTTACTAAAAAAGAAAAAGAAAATAAAGAATGAAACTAATTAACATCATTTATACTAATTTGTTTTTGTTTTTAATATCGATCGATTTCTCAAAAGACAATAGAAAAAAAAATGTGAAACATAACATAAATGATAATTAGTAATTCAGCTTGCATTAGATGAAAATGTGTTCTGTCTTACTTTTAGATTTACATTGACCATAGATTAAAGTTTAAGTCGAAGAGCAATCATGAGTGATATGATCTGTCTTGTCATTGTACTTAATGACAACCATTGAAAAGCTTGATCATAAATGCGTATCTGAATGAACTGGCTGCATGAGAGATTAATATTTATTAGTATGTGTACTGTACTATTCAAAATTTGCCGATGAAAGAGAAAGGAAAAGAGAAACAATAGAGTGGTCAATGTTTCATGATGCCTATTTTTCCCCGTTATCATTTTCAAATTAAAGTGTATTGTATATAGTTCATAAGTTCAATGATGAACATGTATAAAATGCTCACTTACTGTTGTTCTCGATTTCATTTCCTTTTTTTTTCTTTATATCTTACTTCATTCTGTTTTATTGACGTTTGATGATAAGCGTAGGTGATCGCAATTGAAAAACGGTCAATTAAACATAAGTAAACATGCGTGGGATGCACTTATTGTTTTGAATGTACCGTACGAATCAATCATCAATCTGGCATTATTAAGAAAATGAAGTAAAAGAAAACTATTCTTCTCGAAAAGCTCTATGCTTTAAAGTGATAGGTCAACAAAAGAGCCTTGAGGAAAAAGTATTTGTGTACATCTACTAATTGAACGTGTAATGTATTATGATTTGATTCTCTTTCTCATGAAATATGAGATAAGAACGGAATTATCTTTCTTATTGTCATTTCAACCTTTTCATTCTCAATTCTTATTCTATTCAATTCAGTTCATCTTATATGATGAGAAGTATTAGAAACGATGCAATAATAAAGCATTCAAAATCCTATTCAATCATGCACACGATGCTAATCGAGTAGAGAAAGAGAAAAATAACCGGTAAAATATTCGAAACTAAAACAACGCATTGTTCAGCACTTACAAATAATTTTGTTATTGTCGACGACCTTTGAGCACTGACACATAAAAGATTGAGAGAAGTAAAGGGCATTTTCTTTTCTTCTATTATAGACATATAATGTAATGCTGTTTTTCATCATGATCATCTTAACAAACTCCCGATGGCTATACAATCATTCTGACCAAAACAACATCCGGTTGACTGACTGATCATTATAATGATTTTCTAATTTGTTCTCTTGTTATATTTATTCACAGTCTATTGTGCTTCATTTTCTTCTTATTGTATTAAGTTGCATGAATCATATATGTTTCTTTATACGGTATAAATTCTACACTTTTTTTTTCAATAAAAAATCAAATATCAATTTATTGATATAAATGTTTACATAACAAGAACGTTTTTTTTTCTTCTTTGCTTCATGTATTACATCGAATAATCGTAACTAAGAAGTATTTGTGAACATTGAAGTAGTTCATCATACGAACTGTCATTATTTATTTTTCAATAAGATGATAAGGATAATTGACTTTTGAATGAGAACACATTGATAGATAATTTTTAACAGCATAGATATATAACAATTATGTGAAAAGAGTCTTCTTTATATTCAAACAATAGATTGTTAAAGCAAACAGAGATAAATATCAGATGTTTGAAAAAAAAAAGTAATCTTGATATTGCACATTTAAAAAGATTTATAATATGTTCAATATTTGTATATAACATTGTTAAAGTTGTTTTTAAATTCATCGATATCAATATTTCAACGCCCTGTGACAATGCATATATGCAACAATTAAGATATATATTAATATTTTCATCTCATGCATTTTGTCTACTAATTAATTATAGAATATTTTTTCATACTGTTCAAATATTCTCAATCTTATATTCTTACAGTTTATTGTAAGTTTTTTATTGATACTTATGCAATCTCGATGAAACTCGAAATTATAATACTTAAAAATCTGAAGATTTAAGACAAGTTTTAGAAAAAAGTTTCTTTCAATACTCTTGTCTAGGCAAACATTACCAAAAAGATCCAAAATCATTTTAAATAAAGAAAAATCGATAGGAAGTCTTGAAATAAGTACATTTAAATTAAAATCGTAGTATCATTCAAGAACGAGTTGATTTTATAATACTGCTGAACACTTATACGTCTTATGTTTGAAGTATTTTGAATTCTAACCATAGATTCTATGTGTAAACTGAAACTAATAGCATCATTAGGAAGAGCATATCGAGTTGCACTTTTTAAAAAGTAACTACTAAAATAAGCTACACATATTTCGAAGAAACTCAATAATGTTACTGAACTTATTGACCCAAGGAATGATTTTAAAATCGTTTTTAAAGAAAAAATCGCACAAATATAGCAGAGATAGTTGGCTACAAACACCATGTAGATTCTATCCATTGAAATATAATTGCATAAGTATCACGAACTTTTATCACTTTAATTTTATTTCTCGATATGTCATTAAAGGAACATTCTTCATACTATGCTATTTTTATCTCATTATTAGAACTTATGAATTCAGTAGTATATTATTGAATTTTTCTACAGAGTATTAACTTATAATAAGTTTTGTGCCTAACAAATGCAACTCGATATACTCTTTCTAATGATGTTGTTAGGTTCAGTTTACACATAGAATCTATGTTTAGAATTCAAAATATTTCAAAAATAATATAAGTATTCAGCAGTATTATCAAGTCGACTGATTTTTAATATCATTTTGACTTTAATTTAAATGTACTTATTTCAAGATGTTCTATTGATATATTTTTTTTGATTTAAAACGATTTTGGATCATTAATGATTTATCTTTTGGAAATATTTGCCGAGGCAATGAAAAGCACGGATAAGAATTATGTCCTGGACATTATCTTATATCTTCAGATTTTAGAGGAATTTAACTATACGAAAAACGTTCTATAAGTAGGAGACAAAGGAGTGACATAAGCACACTAATTAATACGTTCTTAGTTGCATATACACATTTTTATGACATCAGAATTAGAAAAGTAAAGACTTATCGAGTATAAGTATTTGCTATAATCCGTCGCATTGATCCTAAATTTAAGTTCAAAAAACTTCGAACTCGATGGGCTCTAATTGTCTAAGAAACGTGCAGGATATACTAATCACCGAATACAAAACACTGGAAAAAATGAATCTCATATCTTCGGAACGACTATCCAATGTCGATTAGACAATTTTATTATTGAGAGTATCAAAGTATAGTTCAAAATTTGAACTCAACATGCTCTAGCATTTTCCAAGCTCTACATATCATGTTGATATTTATAACTCTTAAAATTAAGACATTCACTTTTTTCTTTTTATATAGAAATTTCTTATAAGTTTTTCGTATTTTCTATATATTCAAGCATGATCTTGAATACACTTATATCAATTGAAAAAACAAGAAAATTGATTTAAATATATATATATATAATTCATCATTCATTTTTAATAGCAAACAAACAAATACTGATTAACAATTAGACAGTAATCGAAACATTATGAATGAAACTAGTCGATTTTTTTGTTTGAATATCACTGTTATTATTATTGTTATTATTATTAGTAATCGTACTAGTAGTAATATTTGATGAAGCGTATATAACTGGTAATCGTCCAGTTCGATGATTATTCATTTGTATGTGAATAAATGGTATTGTACTATCATCCGTTGATGAACTTGTTGCACTTGATGATGATGACGATGCTGATGATGATGAACAAGACAAAGAGGGTCGATTATGAATTGATAAAACAGGTGTTGATGGTGAAAGTGAATCGTTTTCAATTTGATTAAGACTTAAATCCGAAAAATATCTTTCAATTGTTGATTTTTTTGGAATAATAGCTGGTGGTAATGATGGTTCAGCAAGAACAATATTTCTTAAATGTTGTTCTTTTGTTTTTTTAAATGGATCTGGTGAAAATGATGTTTTTGTATATAGTGGTTTTTTTAATGCAGATTGTGTATGATATGGTAAAGAACGTCGAGTATATGGTGTTCGACGTATATATGGTGATGAAACATTATTATTATTATCAATATGATATTTTTTTGTTTCATCATAACTCTCATAAAGACGATGAGAATTATTTTTGCAAGATAATGTGTTTTGTTCGTAAGGAAATGGTTGACATCCGTTACTAAAAAAAAAAAATAAATGATAAAATATTGTTAATAATGCAAGAGCGTAGATGATAAGATATGCATAAGGATAAATTTTAGTTTCATATTGCTTATTTGAATTTTGCTTAGATTGTATTTTGAATAACTTTAAATTAAAAAAAAAAAAACGATCAGTTAACGCCAGCGGTTCGCATAATTAACAAACGTCAATAAAATCGAAAATTGATTGGGTACGAAGTAACCACAAAGCAAAGCTGATCACACAATATTCATTAAATTTTGTTCTACTCTTCATACTCTGTTACAGTTCAGATTGTGCAATTTTCTGCTTTAATTTTTTTTCTTACCTTTCTTGTCGTTGACTTTTTTTTACAATTTGTGTAAATGCACTATTACTTGATATTAATAATTGCGATTTATTTTGATTAGTTTTAGATGATTTTTTCAATGGAAGATCTTGTACAACAAGACCAGTTTTTTTGAATGCATTTGAAGATGAATGTAATGATTGTAGATTTGATAAGTTTGTTGTATGTTTAGCTGATAAATCTAAGCAATGATGATTATTTGTTGATGATTCACAATCTGAAACACCCGAATCACCACCACATGATGATGATGTAAAATCTTGACGTCGTCTATATGATGATGATTTTTGAAATAAATATGATGGTGACGTAATATTTGTTGACAAAGAAAATTTTTTATTTGTTGG